CCAAAATCTTGCCATGTAAACCCAACACACTTTTTTAGCAAAAATCTTGTTTGACTGGAATGCCTGCTCCTACAGCTAAATAAACTTCCCCCAAAAAAGTGCTGCAGTTTGTTATCTTTTTCAGTTTTCCCATTAACACTAACGTAATAGGGCTTTATAGATGCAATATACGGAGAACTAACAAATTCTTAGTGAGTTGTACAGAATGACTACATTTAAAAAGGTCGGGTTGACCTACTGGTTATATGCCACCAACACATGTATCTTCATATAGTAAATAGGCTCCTTAGCTTTGCAAAGTGTTTGCTATAACTGAAAGCTGTCTGTAGCCTCAGTGACTTGTATCTCTGTAGTCTCATATGCCTCTCACTGTAATGGAATACTAGATGATTAATGAGGGAACATAGATTGGTTTTTGATTCATATTCCACAGGTGGAAGCTTTCTGGAAGCAGACTGACAAAGCCCAGCAGGCTTTTTTGGACCAATCAAAATGCTCAAGTGCCAAAGCAGCAAAGATAACGATGGATCTGACCGAGAAGATGATTGCAGTAGAAAGCTTATTAAGTGAATCTCAAGATTTGCAGGCAATGGTAAAGTACAAAAAGAAAGAAAAGTTGAGAGAGATTTAGTCAATCTGAACACAAAGCATGATGCAAGTGTACAGAGTCTGCCAGTCCTGCCTTAGGAATGATGTAGGCTGCTTACCCCGGTTGTCTCTTTCAGCTTTGTTGCAAAGAGTTCAACTTATGTTGCAGTTTATGAAGACTTACAGGAGGGTGAACTCTCTGCACTTGAGATCTAATTCTGAAAATACCATTTAGGCAGTCATGTTAGGAAAAACATGATATTATTAATGCTGCCAATGAGCCAGGAGCAAGAGCACCAGATCTAATGATGAAGGAAAATCATTACCCTGAGTGTTAGGACATTTCTTTTTCTTCAAAGTATTTATTCCACTTTGAGAAATCCTAATTTAAAATTTGAGGGTGATTCTGTGTGTCCAATGACTTTAACTGGAATTGAAAACCCTTAACATCTCTTAGTGATATGGTCTTAAGAGAGGAGAAATGTGTTTATAAATGCATCAGCACTGTGTTTTATGTTGTGTTAAATCTAATGGGTCATTTATTTCCTTTGCAGAGGGTATACTGAAAGAATTACTTGGAATGTATAGATTAACAGTACAATCAGAGTCTGGCCTGCTGCATTATTAATAATTTGAAGAATAAATGGATAGCTAGCTTTATTTGGCTTACTAATAAACAGGTACAGTAATTATTAGCTTGTTAGTTTTGCATTGGAGCAGCTAAGTAAACTGGGCTGGCCAGGTGTGAAAACAGTCTTTGCAGGTGATCACACTTGACACATACCAGGCTACTGTACAGTAAATTCCTTCAGATGGGCAGACTTCACATGAGATGTCTGGATACAGATACAGGACATATTCCTACCTGAAGTCACTACTGTGATGCTTGCATCTCATTGCAAAGGTCATTGTCTGTGTGTCTCTGCTAACTGTAGTAGTTGTCAGTAGTCCTCTTTCCAACCTTGCAGCATTGTCTAAGGGAGTTGCAGTTTCACCCAGGAAATCTTGCTCCCTGCTGTAACCCTGGGCTTCTTTAACACTGCAATGAAAGCTGCTTGGCCATAGGCAATTATACTAATTCTTAGTTTATTTATTGAACTCCAGCTGACCATGTACTTGAAGGAATCCCAGCAGTATCAAAATCAGATAGGTGTCCTCATTTCAAAATGAAGGCCCATACTGGTGTGCTCTATAGTATCTTGAAAAGCGGCCCAGGATTTCCATGTTGCCCTTCTGTCCATCTTTCCCATTGAGTATTTAAGTTTGTTCTGCAAGCTTGTTGTTGTCTTTTCCTGCCTCAGTGTCTTCCTGACAGCTGCAAATAATGAAAAACACCAGTAGTTTTAGACCAGCTCTTGCAACTGAACATGTGATAAACCCACTGCTATCCTACACCAGTCAAGGTTTTCAGAAGTATTTAAGTACACAAAGATTGTTATTCATATGGTCTTGAGAAACCTCCTTGGTTTTCTGCACAGTTTGGGAATGAATAATTCAAAGAAAAGACAATTACAGCCGAAGACCCATTCTTGGCTTCTAAACAGGACTTTTTAATCTTTGTTTTAGGACATTCAGGAAAGGTTATTCCACTGGGAGTTTATGGTGAAAATGATCGATTCACTGAAGTCCTATATACCAGAAGAGTGCAAGTGTAGATTAAATACTGTATCAAATATTCTGGACCATTTAACTGTAAAGAATAATCTCTCAGTCCGACAAAAGGAAGAACTTCTAACGGATCTGCACAGAGCCTTCTGGGAACAGCTGGCACATTTCAGCAATGGTGAGTACTTAGACTGGAGCTCATGACTTAACAAATATGGGTGTGAATTCTCATTATTGTATTAAATAGTAAAAAAATTAGAGCTTTTACCCCTCTGTTTTAAAAAGATATTGATAAATTGGCCAGGAACACTATTACTGTGAAGGGTGGATGCTTAGAGTAGAAACTTTGGCTTCAAGCCTTCTAGATCTTGTGTCAGGCGTTACTATGAACTTACTCTACAGTTCACATAATCTATACCTTCATTAATTTGAAGATTGAAGAAGAGTCACATTTGTTACAAATATTTGTGAGATTTCTCCATTTACGGTTCACATACTTGACATTTTTGGTGATACTGACTAATGTTAGAGACAGAATAGCTGTGGATGTGCAGAATACTGTCTTATGATCTCCTGCTAGCATGTGGAGCCAGAAGATGCACAGAACATAGTTGTGCTATCGCTCTTGTGAAAAAATAATTTTAAGGCTTATGATCTTCAGATAAACCTGTCCTTTATTATAAAATAAAAATAGTACTAAAATACTTTAGAAATTAAGTCTTTTCTTCTTCCTCTTACAGCCTTTCACATTGCCTATCTGTACGCAATTATAAGAAAGTCTCAGCTGACTGACCAACAGATTTAAGGTTCTCCCTGTGTCACTTTGCATGTTACCTAACGCCCAACGTGTTGAGAAACATACCCCCAGCTTCCCTGATAGGTGCTGTATAGGCTCAGTGCTTCCCATCAGCACTCATGGAATATTATAGGACACCTTCAGCCAAAAGGAAAACAGTGAGAAGTATTTTACTCTCACACATTTTCTAGAAATATTTCTGCTACATGTGGGCATATTTAAAGAAACTTGTCCTAGCAAAATGGTATCAGGATTAGAGTTCCGTGAACTGAATAGTCAGAATGAATGTAGTCTTGTTGCAGTGTAGTCTTGCTGCAGGGCTGCTCATTCACATTCAAGCTTTGTGTTGATAAATTGTCCCATATCTCATGGTCAGCAATTCACAGAATCACAGAATGGTGGAGATTGGAAGGGACCTCTGGAGGTCATGTAGTCTACCCCTCCTGCTCCAGCAGGGTCAATCACAGCCGACTATATCCGGATGGTTTTTGAACATCTCCAAGGATGGAGACTCTGCAACCTCCCTGGGCAACCTGTACAAGTGCTCAGTCAGCCTCACAGTAGAAAAGTGTTTCCTGATGTTCACAGGGAACATCCCATGTTTCAATGTGTGCCCACTGCCTCTGGTCCTGTCACTGGGCACCACAGAAAAGAGCCTGGCTCTGTCCTCTTTGTACCCTCCTTCCAGGTATTTATATACATTGGTAAGATCCCCCTGAGCCTTCTCTTCTCCAGACTGAACAGCCCTAGGTGTCTCAGCCTTTCCTCATAGGGACAGATGCTCCAGTCCCTTCATCATCTTCGTGGCCCTTTGTTGGACTTCCTCAGTCTGTCCGTGTCTCTTGTCTTGGACCCAGCACTCCAGGTGTGGTCTCACCAGTGCTGAGTAGAGGGCAAGGCTCATCTCCCTCCACCTGCTGGCAACACTCTTAATGCAGCCCAGCATACGGTTCCCCTTCTTTCCAACAAGGGCACATTGCTGCTTCACGTCCAACCCAGTGTCCACCAGAATCCCCAGATCCTTTCCTGCCAAGCTGCTTTCCAGCTGAGTGGCCCTCAGCATGTGCTGGTACCTGGGGTTGTACCTCCCCAGGTGCAGGACTTTGCGCTTCCTATTGTTGAACTTCATGAGATTTGTGTCAGCCCATTTCTCTAGTTTGTCAAGGGCCTTGTGGATGGCAGCGTGACCCTCTGGGGTATCAGCCACTCCTCCCATTTTTTATGACCTCTGCAAGCTTGCTGAGGGTGCAGTCTGCCCCCATCATCCTGGTCATTAGTGAAGATACTGAGCAGGATTGGACCCAGTATTGACCCCTGGGGTACACCACTCACTACAGGCTTCCAGGTGGACTTTGTGCAAGTTTTCAATCCATCTCACTGTCTGCTCATCCACCCTCTACATCATCCCCTTCTCTATGAGGATCTAACAGGAGACTGTCAAAAACCTTGCTGAAGACAAGGTAGACAATACCGGCTGCTCTCCCCTCACCTACGAAGCCAGTCATTTCATGTAGAAGGTGATCGGAGTTCCCATGCTGCAGACTTCCTCCACTTTAAAAACATCAGTTAACTATGTGAATAGTTTGCTGGTACTCATGAATTCATGTATATTGTGATACAGATTATTTCGTGGATGTTTGCTCCTAAAACTGGCATGCCTAGTTCATAGTCTTTGCATAGGTTCAGCCACTAACATTCCTGAAGCATAAACATATGTCTGTGGGTGTCTTTCCCCTGTTTTGTCAAGTTTCTCATGTTCCAAAGCAAAACTCTGTCAAAGCCTTGATTTTATGCAAAGTAGGTTTTTATAGTTATATATTGCTATGTATTACAGTTAGTACAGCCTGTGCAGAAGGGCATTATCAACCTCCTTGTTTTAGACAGAAATGTGCTTAAAAAAAAAAAAAGAATCTGGAGTGCAGCATTTTCACATGAGGGTCTATGTTGACCTTGCTTATGAGCTTCTAAATACGTAAGTTAAACTCTACCTATAATTCACAAGCAGAACACAAAGCCAGCAAGACTGTGCTCCTAGGAAACAAACAAGGAAGTAGTAAAGAATCAAGTAGTGTTTAAAAATAACAGTTGCTACGTTTGTTCAGATGACATTTTTATTACAGGCTTTCCTGTACTTTCAGTGCACTTTCAAGTGTTTTGTCAGTGCATTATCAGCCTGTGGATGAGCACAATAAATTAGCATGGAGAACAAGTAACATGCTCAGTGCTACAGTACTGTACTCCTTTATTTCTTCACATAACAATTTCTCATAGCTGAAGCAGTTTGATGTCATGGCAGGACAGCAGCCACAGATGGCTGGTGGTTTGCATTCCCCTTTAGCTGCCTGTGTCAGGAGTGAAGTACTGGGCTGGGGCAGAGTGGGTGGAAGAAAAGAATAAAGTTCTTCCTAGGTGGACAGGCAATGAGACATGAAGTAATGGCAGAACACCGGAAGCGCTGATTCCACTCTGCCGCACAGGGTCCAGATAGACTCATGAATTTATAAATCACTTGGAGCTACAGGGGAGATGAAGGGGGAAGAACTCGGTCCCAAATATTTCACAGTACTAGCACAAAATCGGAGGGACCTTGACAACTTTTGCTGCAGGTTCTTGGACAAGTCACTTTGGAAATCTGGTATGGCTGCATGCCAGTTCAAGCTAATCTGAACTAGCACTGCTCTAGACCTTTTCTCCTCACCATATGTTACCGCCCCTGTCCTTGCAGCAGCATTTGCATATCTGCAATTAGGTAATGAGCCATTTCTGGACCTTCCCAAAGCAGGAGGGGGAGGTTTGGGGTGCTGCAGGTGGGAATCTGTTTCCTGAACTAACTCACTGCCTTCGCATAAGCAGCAGCAGCAGTGAAAGGGAGGGTGCAGGATGGTAGTGATCCAAAAACCTCAGAGATTTAAGTGCCGTGTAACAACCCAAAAGTTCACATCTAAAAAGACCATCAGGGTAAGAATCAAATTTGAAATCCTGCATGGTAATTACTTGCCTGTTTCACTCACTAACAGATTTCTGTGAGCTTATGTTGTGTGACAGTAGCAGATGCTACTTTCTCCCTGTGGAGTTGTGGTATCTAATCATGGGTGGTTTATGTTCCAGAATGCATCCAGCAAAGTAAAGATCTGATCTTGAAACGACTGGAGTGCCGTGCAGAGAAAAGAGAAGAGTTCAAACACAGACAGAAAGCTGAACAAGGGAGTCTCCTCAGTAAAACTTTTCATATTGAAGATGTTCATGATTTTCTTAAGGTGAGCACATAAAAGCTTGTTTTCATTGTTCCATTGGTTTGTAAGGCCAAATATATAACAGATTTCTCCCAATTCCATAAAATTGGGATTTTTCGGTCATCCTGAGAATCATATATAGTAGCACAGGTAGGCGAGGCTCAGACCCCCTGTTGTCTAGGCTTGCCAAAACCTCCAGTTTTGGTCTTGCCACATTAGAACAAAATGCCAAAGAGTGTTAATGCTAGATTGCATAATTTGTAGAAAACATCTTTTACTGAGATATTATGTGTTTGGTTCAATATAGGAAATCTCTGGAGGAAAGTATCTGGCCTGCATTACAGAAGAAAACAGACTGCACTCATCTAATTGCTTTTCTATGAATGAGGTTACTGAGGCTCAACAGGCTATCAAATTTCACAGAAGCAGAGGGAAAACTCATTATGATCGCTGGCAGGATATCTTAGAGAAGGTTTGCAATAGATAGTTTAATATGATATACAATGGCCAGTGTAATGTTTTCTTGGCCATATTTTCTATAGAGCTCTATTGTTATTGTTCAGAATGTATATACAAAATCAGAGTTCTTAGCTGTAAATGCTGAGAGCTGCAAAACTTCTATAACTGCTGAGAACTACAGACCCAAGTTATTAAGAAATTAAAAAAAAATCAATCCTCAGTTTTCATGAAAATAAATAATTTAAGGTTAAAGTGGTTACATCCAGCAGCATTAAACTTTTGATGAAATCTAATAACTTAGATAAATTACTGTATGAGAAGACTCAGATTCCAGCTGTAGCAAACTGTCAAAATTTATTGATCTCAACACTGCAATTTTGTACTGCAGGGCCAAGTTCTTTAATTATACTGTATGAATTGGATAATGCAGTTATTGTTCTTGTATGCAACACCTGTCTGGCAGCACCTCACTTCAAAACAAAAGGTTTTAGGCACTTTAAAACAGGAGAGTATTTTTTTTTTTTTTGGCTTTTCATAACTCGAGACAATTCTATCACACATTTTTGTAGCCATTGAGCACTTGTGAATGGATTTTCCTTATACACGTCATTCAAAACTCTTGGACACATCCCAACTTCATTAAAGAAAGCTTAGAAATTTTGTATTAAGACCTCTCCTCTACAAAGTTAAAGCCAACAGCTTTGTGCAAGAGAGGCTTTATTCTGTACACCTTAGAAGGCTAAAAAATAACACTTAGTTAACCTGTAGACTGATGATCTGTTTGTGACAGACTGAGAAAAAAAGGCAACTTGCAGTTCATGCTGCAGGACAGAACACAACTGAGTCTTAGTATTATGAAATGCCTGTGTGTAAATAATAAAACAAGTCAGAAATTTAAGCCTTTCTGCTGCCACAGTGGAAAAAACCTTTTGTCCCCGAACAGATAGGGTCTTGAGTCTAGAGACTCTTTGAAGAATAAAAAAAATATGTATTTGCAGCTCCCATGATTTGACTTAAATAGTCCAGTAATTATTATAATTATTTTATGTGAACAATACCCTCAGCACTGAGGAGCTATTTTAAACCTGTTTCATGGTTCCATAGCTAGCCCAGCAGTGAAGGGCTTGGTTCTGAATCCTCACCATGAGCCCAGAGTTCTACCCAAAAATGCACTTTTCTTCTCTGCCTTCCCCCCCTCCACCTCATCAAAGGGCTCACACAACCATGGTAGCAGCCTTGACAGTAACTGACCTTTCTGCTGAATTTTAAGTAGTTACCAATTAAGAAGGTGGATTTTGCAATGAATTTTCTTCACATCAGTTTCTTCTGAAGACAAGTTGGATGGTAATGATTTAGTTGCTGCAGCTCTGATTTTTTTATATGACAGAATGACTTAGACAGTAAAGGTTAGAGTCCCTGTATCATTCTGTCTCCTTCATTTATGTTTCCACTGGAAAAGGAGCATTTTCATTTTGTTTGTTACTGGCAAAGAATACAGGAATGATCAAGTGAAGCACACAAGCCAAAAAAATGCCAGTTACAGTAACCCAGTCTTGCTCAGCCCTACCCCCCAGGTGGACATACAAGTTACAGCAATTAACTTGTAAAAATCTGTGGTAAACTACAACTTCAGGATAAGTGTAAATTTAAAGTCCACCTCTGCAAGAATGAGCTGTACATGAAGAGTTTATGAGCACTTTTATGCTCTTTAGAACAGCCCTATTGACATACCTAATGAAGAAAGCCACATTTACCACCGAAATGTAAGAGAGCACTTGGCAGTTTAAATCAAAATATGGAATATTTATGTATAAGACCACTCATTAGTCTATAGAATGAGATGTTCTTTGATCATGAAATTCAGTCTTCCATTACAGCACATGAGCCTACCAACACATCACAGTCCTGGCTTGAAGAAAGAAGTTGCATTCTTCTGAAATCTGTGACCAAGGACCAAATCAGGACCAAGTCACGGATCAGCTTTGTAGGCTGAGTGCTGTCTGACAGTACCTTGGGACATGGTGACCAACCCCAGTGCAAAAGCTCAACAGCTTTAACTAAGGTGTCTGATGGCTGTTCTGCACCTGATAGTACTGGCTATGATGAAGTTACATTCATACACAGAAAAGCAGGTTGCAAATCAGATCATTTCATATGTTTTCCGGTATTAGGTACATATTATTTAACCCCAAATTACTGAGACTATGGAGTTTCATACTCAAGACTGGATATGCTGAACTTAAGGTGACAAGGCAAGTTTCATTTCCCTCTGACTCATGGTTCCAGATAAACACTTAGTGCTGTGATGGTACATGGGGAGGGAAGGAGAGGATCACAAGGAGCTATCAAAACCTTTCCAGCTATTTAAATACACCTGTTGTGTTTCTTTTAGGCTTACCACGAGCTGTTAGAGAAGCATCGGCAAGCACAGTGGGAACTGGAGGAGGAGGATGACTGCAAGAGCACAGAGGCTGTTGCAGATCTCTACAAGGTGCCACCTCTAGTGATATGTGTCATTTACTACAATAATTCAGGAGATCCTCTAACCCCACTACACAATGTCAGGCCTTGGGGAGGATTGGGGAATTGCGGGAGAGATCCTGGCAGCTCTAGGAAGCTAGGTTGACAAACCAGGAGATTGAGACAGGACAGTCTTCCACATTAGCTTGCCTCTTCCGTTATCTTCCCGACACACTATGTTTCCTGACCTCGTAATAGTCAGAAAATGCCTGCGTGGTCTGCCAAAATGTGCTGTCTGGGTGGCTGACAAGGTTGCAGTAACGCTGAGAGCGTACAATGTCTGGCATTACTACCAGGAGGTAGGCTTCATTTACGTAGCATAATTGTCTCCTCTGCACCATGGTAGGATGATACTATTCTTAGTTAACTTCACTACATCTCCAAAAATAGTTTTCTCATCTCTTTTTCTCTCAGAAAAATTGTTTTGACACTAGTTAGTTCCCTGAAATAAGTTCAGATCTTTGGTGTAAGTAATATTTTTACACTTCTTTATGCTACTGATTTGGAAAATATGTAAATGCTTCACTGTTTTGCGTCATCTTTAATTATTTTCTGTCTGCACCGAAAAAATAAGATAACGTGATCTATCTGATGAAGGCCAAAACTGTAGCCAGCATGACCTTTAATGAAGCTGGAACTAATCACTTTCAGCTCAACAGGATCCTTGTCATGATTAATTATGACCAGATCAGGGTGTTATGGAAACCTGTAGTCCCTATCATATTAGGGTAAGATACCCACACAATCTTAATTAGCACTAGTCCACATGCACTTATTCACATTCAATTGATAAAAAAAATAAAGCCACTGTATTTAGAACAAATAGTTTTGCCATGGTTTTACATAATAGTGCAAGCAACAGGATATTTGAGAGGAACTGCTGCTTTGGAGAAAGGAAAAGTTTGGAGGGCTGTGGCAGTGAATCAGAGTAGATTAATTGTGCAAAGCTATTTAATTTAAGAAAAGTCAACATGTCTGCTGGTATTATTGCACACAGTCCATTCTCTGGACTTCTCCACCCCCTTCCTCAATTAACATGAAGTCTCTGGAGACCAAACAATTTTTTTTTTTAATCCTGCACAGTTCCATCTCATTTGTGAAATTATATTTCTTTCCTTTATTGTGTACTCAGCTTTAGTGCACTAAGATCAGACTGAAAATCCTGTTTCTTTCAGCACTGTTAGCTAAGTTTTCTTTTCCATTAAAGAAAAATTGGTTTGGGTGAATTAAGTGTTTCTAGAATTGCCAAGTTGCCAGGAGAGCTGCAGAAACTTGAACTCTGCCAATTCAGCCAGCTCTAAGCCATTATATTCTATATTACAGCTGCTCTCTTATTCCTAGGCCCAAACAAACACTGCCAGACATGAAAAACTGCAAGTACCGTGATCCAACTGGCATCTGTTGAATGAGGTTCCACAAATCTTAATTTCTACTTTTTTTTTTTCTATAATAAAACATTTTTATTGTGACCTTTAACATGATGAACAACTGCACTTTCTCCCCTTAACCCTAAATACAAATACTACAGACTGTTTTAGGAGAGCAGGCTGCTTCTGAATATACCTTGTAAGCAGCATAAGCTAGAAAGAACAGAAAATAGAAGTGAGCAGAGCCCCACTGTAGGTAAATGAAGCTGTTCTGACTTCTGCACCTGAGGGAAGTGCAGTAATTACACAGGTTGTCCATTACCTGGGACATAAAAGCTGAAGTAGATTTGCCATTAGGGGAAGAAGTTGCATCTCACAACTGCAATGCTTTTGCTTCTCTCTGCTCCACCACACCTCCAGAGAAGTGCAGCTTGAACAAGGAGAAGCTTTTCCCTGGGCGGCAGGGAAACTTAGTTTCTCCAGGTTTCTGCTAAGGAGAAGCTACTGCTACCAATGAGGAAGGCAATATACCCTTGGGAAGGCGACAGGGATTTGAGATACTCCACAGTGCAGTGGTGTGAGGAAGGCAATATACCCTTGGGAAGGCGACAGGGATTTGAGATACTCCACGGTGCAGTGGTGTGACTGCAGCTCAGGTAGACCTAAGCAAGCAAACATTAGACTAACCAACTGGGTACCAGCAACCCTCAGATGGCAATAGTCAGCACTGTACTACAAGACCTATGTCCCAGTCAAGTTTGAACAAGCTAATTTGTAGAGCCAGCTTAGTTTGGGCACACCTGCAAACACTGCAAAGCTCCATGTTGTCATTCCAAAAAGTCTGTACTCCCTGAAGCTTAACTGATAGTCATTTGACTTGCACTCATTTGGAAGGTTTGGACTCTGCTGTTTCTGTTCTACCACGAGCAAGGAAGAGGTTAAAGATTTGATTAAACATTCTATTGTTCATTTAATCTCCATATTTCCGTAAGTGCAAGCATGTGTTACTAAGTAAGTTAGAAGGCAAGAAAAGAAGTTCACCAGTAGAGAGTTCTGTTCTGTTGCTTTTTTATCATTCCAGTAGAAACAGAAGCCTAGCAATATTACTGAAAAAGCTGAGTGAAACTCTCTACAGTTACCCTGACATGCTCCACAGATATTTAGATGAATATTCCTCAGCCTGTGGTCCACAAGACATCCAAAGATAGACCACAAGACAATTTTAAAAAGATGCATTCATACATTTGAAAACACAGTTGGAGTCGAAAGAACTAGAAGTAATTAAATATTTAAGAGTTCAGCCCAGTTTTTATTCTGTTGCAAATGAAAGTTAACCTTGCAAAACTGCACTTAGTTACGCTTTCCCACACAAAGTTAAATAGCTGTTGGATTTAAGGGAAATAAAACTGAGATGTCTTACCAGGAGGTAATTACGTAAATCCAAGAGGAGGCATAGTGTTACCTAAATCACAATTTCTCCATAACCAAGATTGAGCAATAGCATCCTATATGACCCCTCTACCAAGTAGCTCATACTCTTTGCTGGCCCAGTTTAAAGAAATACACATATATTTTCTGGGCTGAACAATCAAATATTGTCCAGTACTCACAGGATTTAGGGTTCCAGACAAGTTCCTGCTTGTGTTCCATTGCCATCTTGACTGGTTGGAAACCCCCAGAACTGGGATGAATCACACTACACTTTTCAGATTAACAGCAGCAGAACTCAAACCATGGTGGGTTTTTTTTTTCCACATCTAAGCCCTCTATTTTCTGAAGTTGCTTTCATGGTCCTTGGGGCATCATCAATATTGCAATTTAGCAAATGATCACCAATATCCTAGTAAAGAACAGCCGTGTTGGTTCAGACAAATGACCATTTAGAGTAATATCCAATAAGTTCATGTACTGTAACAGCTCCAGTGTTAGAGAGATGCATACTATCCAGTTAGCTAGAGTTAGGTCCCCTTCTCAGGCATACCTTCGGCTAAGAGCAATTACTAGCAGCTTTCAAAGCAACTGTCTTAGGGCATACAGGTGCCTCCATCTTATATCAACTTTCTAAACCATCCACTCCCATTTAAGTATTGTATCAAAACTTGCACTGTAGATGACAAACCAGAATAAATCCTTGAGGAAGACAGCCAGTACAAAGTTCCCAAGGGTTGCACTCTGACAAATTCACTTGACCAAGCGTAGAAGCCCAAGTGCCCAGCCATTGCCCTGAGCTCATGGGCCTTAGCTGCTATATTTGAAGGCCATTACACTTTTTTTTTTTTTCAAGGGAAAAGGACCTGGCAAGGTCTTTTTTGTGATAAAGGCTTGTATGTGATAAAAATTGCGGGCCCTCTGTTCTTACTTTACTTGTGCGCTGGAATAACTTGGCTTATTTCCCCACTTAACCTTGGTTTGTCCTAGTGTAAGCAAGCAGGGAAGCAAGCCTGACAGATTCAGTTTCATGAATAAGTAGAAAGATAACTTCAGTGCCAGAGGTGGTATTAAAATATAAGGAAAAGGTGACCAAATAGGGAACCAATTAATACCCTGGGGACAGAAGAAAAGATGTCACTTACCTGTAACTGCCACTTACTTGTGGGAGAAGATCCTTGCCTTGTTCTCACAATGTTCTTCTAAGCCCTTCTCAAATTTCTATGCCTTTTTTATTTTTTAATTTTTTCCCCTTTTAAACAGTTTGTGGGTTCACCGAAATAAATTTATATAACCCTGTAGCACCACTGTACCCTGTTACAGTACATCAAAGAGTTATCCAAATTGGTGAATAAATATGTAAAAATGCAATGTTCTGGAAGCTGACTGTGTTTGCATAGAATAATTGAGTACGTTTGTTTTGTGTGCACATGAATAAATCAATTAAAATGATTTAACCAAGGTCAATGGAATCTGTTGATGCCTGAAGTGAACAAATGAGTTATATTTGGAGGATAGCATAGGACTTTTCAGCCATACTAGTGGATTAAAATAGTGCACTGTAGGTGAATAGTCTGTGTCTAGGCACAGGCTCCATAACTAATTTTTGAAGTGCAAGTTGAGGAATGGGGACAAGTGATTTTGATTATCACAGTATATCATAACTGAAAGAGGAATTGTGTCAGAGGTAATTGAATAGCTCAGCCTAATATTTTCATAAACACAGTCTGCAGAGTTATGCCATACACAAAGGATATTGTGTCGCAGTAACAGTTGTGTTTTGGCTTGAGTAGCTTTTCAATTGCAAGGATTTTACCGTAATTTTCTTTTACATGGCAGCAAAAGCACCCCCCCACCCCCAATATATCCTATTCTGTTTCTCATGATCTCTTGAAAAGATTTACAGCTAGCTCCTTACACGTCTATCTCAAGTTTAGCATATCAGATGTTAATCAACCTTTAATCTTTTCTTTCTCTTTTTTTTTTCTTTTTAACTACCTGCTTATTTCAGTAGGGAAGGGAGAAGTGAACAGAGGTTGTTGGTTAACAGTTCATTATTAAGAAAACAAACATGCAGATTGCACAAAAGGAAATCAATTGACAGCTAAAAATTACATAGTGTGTGGTAAGATAATTATTTTTCCTCAGCCATAACATCAAAAACATAAAAACACAC